TTCTTCAACAACCTTCTGGTGGAGCAGGATATGCAAATAATATGACAAGTCAGTGGCCATAAGGGATTTCCAACAATTGATGTATTTCTTAGTTTAGTGCAACACAGCGTACTGTTGTTCACAAACAACACAACCAAAACACAACGAGGGTAGCTTAATAATAGTGCTTAGTGAACAACAAGAACATGCAGCGCATTCTGCTTTTGATTGCAAACCAAATCATAACATGTTGCACTAAGAACTCCCTCAATGTTGTGTTCGTGAGCAAGCCTGATGTGCAGCAAAATATAATATACCAAGCTACTATGTGGAGTAGTGTTCTTAAAGTAGTAATATAACCTTTATGGTTGAGTTGCGAACGGAAATTATCATTGCCTTAGTGTGCAGGCATACTAGTGCTCAAGAACAGTAATACAACAACCAGTGGGAGACACATTGTGTGACAGAAATTTCTGTCACAGTGGATTCAATTGTGGGCACAGTATTCAATGGCACTTGCCGAAATTTTTTCTCTATTGCACATTCACAACCCTCCATGGCATCCAGGGAAACAACACCTTCAGATCTGGGTGAAGATCTCCAGCCCATCAGGTTCCCAGCATATGTCAGAAAGGCATTCAGATTGGATTCTGTCAGAACACCAGGGGGGCTGAACATCCAATTTGAGCAACTCCTTTTAGAAGGCAAGAATGATGATGGCAGATATTACAAGCTTGATACTGCAGACATGAAAACCAACCTGTCTGGTGATGATGCAGGCATCTCCCTCCACAGGGACTTTGACTCTATCATTGGGTTCTATCAGGGGTTGCCATTATTCGACAGTGTGGAGCTTTCCCTTGTCCCTCGTCCTATGGATTCTCTCTCTGGTTCCACCAATCTGCATGTGAAGCTTCCAGATCATCTATTCGAGATTGTGAGCCTTAGTGTCATTCATACTCTAACCCTTACAACTCACTTCCATCCAGAACTGTGAACCTGGGGACCATGTGACAGCACCAAATAAGATTGCCAACTATTGCCTTGGCAATTATTCAAAAAATGGCCTCATTAGAATTTTTTTCCCATACTTCACCCCTTCCACAACCCCACCTGGCCCAACCCACACAAATAACACCAACAACACCAACAATACCAACAATGACAACGATGGCAACAACAACGGCAACAACAACGGCAACAACAACGGCAACAACAACAACAACAACAGGGTCAGCAAGACTTATATTGCGGAATTCTATGATGAAATCCTGCGTCCAGCTTTGATTCATATCCTTCCACATTCCTCGCCTTCATTTCCCCTTATCGGCTCTTGGGTGGCATCCTCTCCCGCACCAAGGATGGCAAGCTGGTGGGTGGGAAGCGTCTGGTTTCTGCTGCTCTGCTAGGTGAACTGGTGGAACATATGAGAGATTGCCTGGAGAGGAAGAAGGAACGCTTCGAATGGGCTCGCAGCTTCTTCTTTGGCCTTGAGATCAAGGGAATCAAACTCAGCACCACACATCCTGTCCCTTTTAACAATGGCACAGAGGAAGGGCAGGGTTCCAGTGAAGAGGATCAAGAGACGATCTTCAGACAACTTATCCTGGGGATGTTTCACAGTGGACTCACATCTCTAGAACAGCAAAGCACGTGGGTGGATGTGGGGCTCGAAATAAGCAGGAAGGCCCATGTTCTTCACTGGGATGCATCAGAGCACCACCGAATTCTTCAGGTCCTTGCCACAGGGTATCAGGGGGATGTGGAAAGACAATGGACACAGCCTGGAAGGGAGGGGTATTTCTGCGACATTCAAGCAGGAATCCTATCTCTGGCTGGAGGACGTTGTGCATTGCCTCATCTCCCCCGCTTACCCATTTATGCACAATGGTATGCGTCGGAGAAGGGGGTTTGTAGGAGAGCTGACAGGTTTGACCCTATGCTGGGAATCACGAAAAAGAACGTGTTTGGAGAAAAAACCAAGGATAAACTGAGAGTGGAATTCGATAATCTGGAGAAAGTGTGGAATTCAGCTCATCATGAGAGGACGGAAGGGACGGCAAGATTGGAGATACGCATTCCCCTTCGAAAAGCCAAAAATTCCCTGAGAACAGTGACAAAGGAGTTCATCGAGCAGTGCACCATGGCTATTCAAGCTTCTGATGGCTCGTGCATGTCGTCAGGTCATTGAGGCTCAGATGAATGGGACCCCCCGGTCTAGACTGGCACGACATGCTCTGGAGCTCAGTGCTGCACTCACATGGCGGATTAACATGCTGAACAGGAGACCAGCAGCAGGTTCATCAGAGCACCAGCTCATGTGTGCTTCCCTCCCTGTCACCGACAACTTCTCCCACCCAGATCTGTTAGATGGACGTGACAGGAATCCATGGAGGGCGCAGGCGGAAAATGAAGAATACCGCCCATTTGCCTCAGGAAATGTCATCTGGTTCAGGGACATCGATTACAACCTGAACATGACAGATGATTGGCATAGGCCAATTTCCCCTGGATTCAAAGCACGAGCCACACTTGGATTGGGACGGCGTCGGCTACTGCTGGATCGGTATCTCAAACACCTCTCCAGCTTTACCATCGATGAGCTCGAAAGAATACTTTCAACTACCCCCTACATCACACCACCTGCTCCTTTCCATCTACCAAGACCTAACCACACACTTCCACCAGATCTGCCGGAATCACTAGATGAGCTGCTAGCAAATGCTCATATCAAATTGAAGGAGAGCGCTACCAAGCACCTGAAGGATTCTTTCCCCAACTCGGATAACAGTGATGGGGTCCCTCAGCTCGTTCAAGGGACCACAAACCTGGTATTGACCAAGAATATCCAGCAGATCCTTGACTTTTACTTTTCCAACGTGCTGCAGACCATCCCTGTCCCCCAGACGCAATCCCCAGAGCTGTTCTACCATACTGTCCGTAATCCAGACAGTCCAGTTGCACACCCTGGTATAGGGTACTTTAAAGAACCTGATCTTTTCCGCAGTGGATTCACCGGAGCTCACATCAGGAAGCGCAACCCCCCAGAGTTCCATGTAGTGTTCCAGCTCTCTTTCCCACCAGCTGACCTGAAATGGGAAGAAGCAAGGATGAAGGGGACATACAATAGGGAGAGGAGAGGAGGCCAACCCATGAGATATGGGGATGAGAGAGAGCAAGGGTTGATAGAGTACAAAAATGGTGGTAGGGGTTGGAAGCGGCATTCATTTCATGCTGCCTGGTGGGAATTCATCCAAAGATTCGACTATACTGGTGGCGATCGTATTAGGGAGAAGGTCTGGAAGAATGTGTACTCTAAACTTGTTTGGGCACCCTATTCTGACCTTTCACAAATGTGGTACACAACATCCAACGCCAAAAGTGCAGAGACCTTCCCTGCAGATATGGCAGGTCAAAGGCTTCCCATAATCATTCTCAATCCTTTGATCGATGATAAGGCTATGTGGGATGGATCTTTGATTAGGAGGAGGGAATGGGTGTCACTGACCCTGTAGCACGAAGCCTTGTCTTATCATTATCATTATTTGTTATATTATTTGTTATAATTTTCCCAGTTTCAATTTCATTTTTCATGATTGGAGAGTGGGAGAGCCACTCTGGCCTTGGGGCCCCAGGGAAGCAAGACAGGGGCCAGCTGGATCGTAGTGGGGTCCCAAAACTCAGCTAAATAGTCGAAAATGTTTGTGAAGGTGAAGAGCCCCAGGGAGATTCAGTCCGTGCATCCAACACACCTATCAAGATTTCATTCACAACGAGGTGCTCAGTATACAACAAGTTTTGGTCGCTTGCAAATGTGGGGAGTGGACGATTCCCATGTCCACACTCACCCCACCTTTCTGCCTGAAAATCCTGACATCCATGTGTGCGTTTCGGCGGCAAAATATAAGATCGAAAGAGGAGAATTAGGCTTATTTTTCTGCCGAGTTTCATACCAAACGGTGCAGTATTGACAGAGATATGAGGACACTCAACACCATGTCAAATGGCACGTGCCTATCTCAAGATCCACCAAGCCAAATGGGATGAATGGCATATCAGCACGAAGCTAGAGTCAAGGAGAGTCCAATGGAGACGATGGGAAGGTGTTATATACATTGATTGGGAGGGACAACGTTGTGAGGACAAGTCCGTGCATGGCAAAAAGTCGGATTCTGCGGATTCTACCCAACAATGCACAATACACAACCGCGGATGCTTCCATTGCTTGTCTTTACTATCCAACACTCCATACACTCATTCCTTATTCATTCCTTATTTTTTCCAACATTCCTGACAGTCCCAAGTCAATTTCCCCACGCCCAACCACACCGCCAATTTCACCCCCTCCCCAGACCTCCATAACCACACATTAAACCCAGCGGTTTTTCTACCCGTTGGTGACGATCTACCTTCCCCCTTTGCCCACGGAGCATTTCCCAGAGTGGAAATCCCATACGTGGATGGTTCAGCATGGTGTAGAGCCTCACGTGGTCTTGACAGCACCTGTCAATGGCCATATCTCAGGAACTACTGCACCAATTGGGACAAATGAGGGTTCGTTGGAAAGCTGGAGACGAGGAGGTTGCTGGCAAGAGGACAGGCGGGCGGTGTTGCGGAGTTAACCTTTACAATTTCCATCTGGGACCCGTTGTCACAATTTCCCCATTCATATTTCTTTTATTGTTTCTCTGTTCCTAATTGGACATTAGAAAATACCTTGTACATGTACATAACAAGTTAGCAATGAATAGACCCATGAAGGAGTAAAAAGTAGTTACATCCAAGTGGCAAAGACGCCATCCATGACCCCATGCCCCCCTGAGCTTGTTGCTAACATCTAACACCCCTCTACTCATAATCCTCGGCCTTGACATCCAAGAGAGACGTACATGAGTGTTTAATTGAGGCTCTAGTAGACACGGTAGCGCCCCAAGACCAAAACCCGGACCTCCCAACCACATACACAATCACTACCACCCCCCCCCTTTCCCCTGCCTCGAGTCTAGGTGATAGAGCCGTTACAGTGCCAAGTCAAAACTTGCATGCCCAACATTCATATTAGGAGAAAGGTCAACACATATCTTGCGCACGGACACATGATCTACATGATTGTCCGTCATTCCTTTCTTGATCACTCTTTTCCAGCCACATCATAGAAGGCTTAAAAGCCTTAATTTTTCGCCCTTGTCTCTCCCTCAGTTCGCTTGTTCAGAACTGAGGTGAGCTTTCTTGTCTTCGCTGACTTGGTTGATGACTAAAAACCTTGTAAATATCCTAGCGCTTACAACGTGCTAGGTAGATAAGCAATTCATTTTAGTTGGCTTGTTCAGAACTGAGCACTCGCAACTTGCTAGATTCTCACAATTCATCCCCTCAAATACCATTGTTCACTCTCTAGACACTGGTGATGTCAACCCACCCTCCTAATCCGGGGAGTATCGTCCCAAATGGAACATCCTTAGGCTCTGTTCGGTAGAAAGAAAGAAACTGCTTGTGTCAGGGCATCCCATATGTACCTATACCGTTATTTTTAAATGCCATCATATACGATAAACATCGCATCTAGTATCAACAAAAACTTATCGCTCTATCAGCACCATTCTCATTGCTCCACAGAAATCCTGACTGCTCTGAAAGTCTTTTGATGGCCCAGTATATCTGTTTTAACTATGGTGGAGATATAGTCAGTGGTCTGATCAGTCACTCATCTCATACTCACCTTGCCATACTTATTCTTACAAGCACTCGGCTTGAACACAGTCCCGCATTCCTCAGTTAAGTGTGCGGAAACTGAGTTCCAAACCTTGTCTTTGAACCCAATATTCGAGGTGCCACCTGCACGCTTAACTTCAAGAAGGGAGTGGACGAGCTCCGCTTCCTCATGCGATTTCCAAACAGCACGCTTGGAAGGTGGGTTTGTGGATTCCCCCTTGGCCCAGGGTGTACGACGTCGTTTGTTATCGAGGGATGGGTATTGCCAAGATCAGCATCCATACTTGCAACAATAATTCATGCTTAATTTACATGTGTGAGGTTTATAAGAAAAAAGCTGTAGCAAGAAATGACAATGAAACCGGCATGCCGAACACTCGTCAGTTTCTTCTCGTTTCTTGACGAAAGTGGCAGAAGAAACAAGAAAGAATCAGTCACCTTTTGAATGAAGACACAAAAAGAAACAGGTTTCTTTCTACCGAACAGAGCCTTAGTATATGGATGGTTCGACATGGTGTTGAACCTCACATGCTCTTGACAGCACCTGTCAATGAATATCTCATGAACTACTGGACCAATTGGGATGAATGAGGTATCATTGGAAAGCTGGAAACGAGGAGAATTATGATGGTAGGCGAGGAGAGCGCCATAGAGGAGTTACCCTGCAAGGTCACTTTCGAGTCCGGAATTCCTTGGCATTTTTCCCACCTCCAGCAATGTCACCTTGCTACTTGGTCTCTTGCACTCACCCTCTCATTTGATTGCTTTGGTCGTCCCTGCAAAGCCATGCTTTTATGGAAGAATCGGTTTCTCTTTGGCATTCTCTACATTTAGCCTGGGCATTACGAGATCTATCCAAGATAAATACACACTCTCATGATAAGAGAGGAACATCACTCTATGCAACAGTGTCTAGCTGCAAGTCTGCACCTAACAATTATTAGGGCTTATATGCAGGGACAGTCCTATACTTGCCCTCACCGACATACAGCATTCCTGTTGCTTCCCTTCTTGGTGTTCTTGGGGTGATCAAAGAAGAAATTGTTGCGAGAGTGACGAACTGTGGGATCGTTGTTCATTTGGGGATGTGCACTTGAGATCTTTGTGCCTGCCTGAGTGTTTTGGCTAATTCTCCTTGTTGTACATTAGTCATTGAAACTCAGGATGTTAGAATTACTAGGAAACAGAACCCCTGCAGAGCTTTTCTCTTGCTGGGACTTTTCTGTGAATTTACTGTGATTCCTTTGTTGGATCTGTCACTCAGGCTTTCTGAGAAATAATTCTTTTATTTAAGTTGACTTTAGTCGATCCCTGTAAGGCCTGAGAAGGCTGCACATGCTTTCCCATTTTATTCCATTTATATCCTGCTGAGATCGCATGCAAAAGCGTGCTTGTTTACTATTTACCAAGCTGCATGCATTTGCCGACTCCATGTCACGACCCGACACATCCGTCACATCCATCAACCCGCCCTAGTGCCACTGGCCCGTCCTGCCCGCTAACATCATCATCCGTCCATCCATCCATCCGTCCACCTGTCACCATCATCCACACTTCCTCCCCTGCGTGCATACCTCCCAACCAAGGTTGCCTGCTCGAGTGGTTCTTTGTTGTCCACCCGCCAATCGGACAGCTTGCTAGACGGCTGGATGGCCTTTTCTCTTTTGTTCGCTTGCAGACTATTGTTCCTCCTTTGCCACTCGTTGTTCTTGCTTGCCTTTTGTTGACCAAGTTTGCGGATATTAACTATTTGTCTCTTTCTTCATTCATTAATATCGCGCTTGATCCGCCACTCCTTCCGGGCCAGCCCATTTAGTTACTTGTGCTTATAACGTGTGTAGGTTACACCAGATGTACCTCAGTTGGTATATTGACTTGGATTTCCCCCCCTAGTCTCTTCTCTACATCGTAAGGCTTCTGTCTGAAATTGGGACAACAACGTAAGAACGAAGTGCAGTGCGCTCCACCTGAGTCGCTGAAGCTGAAGTCCCGCCCCTCGGACCTTACGAGCCCGGACGACTTTGCACGCTTTGCAGATCATCCGGATATGCATCCGACATGTTCCTGACACTCCGGCATACACTTGTACATATGTATATAAAGTAGCATGGAGGGTAGACTGGCTCTTTAGCCTTTACTCCCCAGTTGATAATATAGCTTCATATGTTATTTCTCCTACAACGCTACTCAATATTTCCATTATTTGATTTAGTTGGATACAAAAATTCCCATCACAAGGGGGCACAGCAGCGATTCTAGTTACTTGCTAAATTTTTGATCCACTATGATAATTTCCCCCATTCATTCATATTTACCTCTCTGTGCCTAATTGGACACTTGTTATTTGGGGCTGCCTATTGAGCCATTTGCATCCCCTGAGAGTAATTTTGTACTGAGGAGAGAGCGAAGATTTGGCAGTGCAGTGGCAGTGAGGTCAGACTTAGTGTACAGAGTAGCAACAGTGTCAGCACCTTTGCTTGTAGTGAGTGGGAGTGCAGTGGTAGTACAGCCAGAGCCAGCATCAAAGTGCCGACAGTGTCAGCACTTCTGCATGAGAGGGTGCATATTGAGTGGCAGTGCAGTGGCAGTGGAGTCAGAGCCAGCATCCAAAGTGCCGACAGTGTCAGCACTTTTGCTTGAGATCTTCATAGTAGGTGGCAGTGCAACCCTACCCAACCCTAGCAATCCTAGTGTCCAGAGTGCCGACAGTGTCGGCACTTCTGCTTGAGAGGCTGCATATTGAGTGGCAGTGCAGTGGCAGTGAGGTCAGACCTAGCATCCAAAGTGCTGACAGTGTCAGCACTTCTCATTGAGAGCCTCTATAGTAGGTGGCAGTGCAGTGGCAGTACAGTCAGAGCCAGCATCCAGAGTGCCGACAGTGTTAGCACTTCTGCTTGAGAGCCTCCATAGTAGGTGGCAGTGCAGTGCAACCCTACCCAACCCTAGCAATCTTAGCATCCAAAGTGCTGACAGTGTCGGCACTTCTGCTTGAGAGGCTGCATATTGAGTGGCAGTGCAGTGGCAGTGAGGTCAGACCTAGCATCCAAAGTGCCGACAGTGTCAGCACTTCTCCATGAGAGGCTGCATAGTGAGTGGCAGTGCAGTGGCAGTGCAGTCAGAGCCAGCATCCAAAGTGCCGACAGTGTCAGCACTTCTCCTTGAGAGCCTCTGTAGTAGGTGGCAGTGCAGTGGCAGTACAGCTAGAGCCAGCATCCAAAGTGCCGACAGTGTCAGCACTTCTGCATGGGAGGCTGCATAGTGAGTGGCAGTGCAGCAGCAGTGCAGCCAGAGCCAGCATCCAAAGTGCCGACAGTGTCAGCACTTCTCCTTGAGAGCCTCCATAGTAGGTGGCAGTCAGACCCAGCATCCATCCAGCCTCCAGCCTCCCAGCCTCCCAGCCTCCCAGCCTCCCAGCACGCCAGCATGCCAGCCTCCAGAGTCCAGCATCCAGTCCCCACTCCAACTCCCAACATCCCAAAGGTCGAGCATCCAAGTCCAAAAAATCACCCTATAACCCACCCAATACAACCACCCAACTCAACCAAACGGTTGCTACTATATCGGGTTATAATATAAACATTTATATATACATTATATAAACTATATATTACTTCTATTTTCGGATTAGCCTTGGTACATGCTTATTAAGCATTTGATATGCTTATATAAGGATGTTGGGATGTTTCTAACGAAACATCCCACTGTTTCTGTGCACAGACCTCTCCCTAAAGTATAAATACCTTAAGGGCAAAAGGCTGATGAGTCCTCAGATGAAAGCGCTTGTATTCCTTGTGGGATAAGGCACTTCCTTTTGCTCTGTCATTTTCTCATCTGCAACTTCTAAAACACTCGATTTCTGAAAACACGTGATTACTATTTTTACAACCCAACCCAACTCTCCTGGGTCGTGGAGGAAGAGAAAGCTCCTGTCCTGGGTTGGAAGCGAAGGCTTCTTTTTGACTTGCACAAATCTGATTTCCTAGATTGTGATCTCCTAGTGAGTAGGAAAAGAGTCTCTAACTTAAGAGACCTTACCAACTCCTGGAGAAAAAGTGTCCTAGCATCACATTCAGAGGTACATAATGACCTACCTGAAGACATGGATACATGGGGATGCTAATCTGAAAGGGTTTGGGGTGGTATAAAGTTGTAGGCCTTGGGGGATCAAAACCCAAACAACCCACCCCACCCAACTAACCAAACCCCCAACCACCCAACTCAACCAAACAGTTGCTACTGTATCGGGTTATAATATAAACATTTATATACATTATATAAACTATATATTACTTCTATTTTCGGATTAGCCCTGGTGCATGCTTATTAAGCATTTCCAATGCTTATTTAAGCATGTTGGGATGTTTCTAACGAAACATCCCACTGTTTTTGTGCACAGACCTCCCCATAAAGTATAAATACCTTAAGGGCAAAAAGCTGATGAGTCTCAGACGAAAGCACCTGTATCTCTTGTGGGATAAGGTCCTCCCTTTTGCTCTGTCCTTTTCCTCATTAACTTCTCTAAAACACTCGATTTCGAAAACATGTGATTTGTCTTTGCAACCCAACAGACCAGTCTGTAAATTGGATGATACTATCCATTTTACACTGAAACAAAAAGATAGGCTGTCCTAAGGATAGTTAATCTTGAGTTTTAACAAGATTGGGTCCATTATTTCGTAAATAATGGAAAAACTACTTGCCTTTTATGGAAATAAATAATTCCATTAAATTCTACAGCATTGTAGTTTTCTGTTCCATATTTTATCATAATTTTAGGATAACTATAACTATGGTAAAAATCTGATTTCCACCCATGATCCACAAAGATTAATAGGATTTCAGATGTGGGATGCTTTCCAGGTGCACAGACCTGTACTGTGAAAGTATAAATACTAGGCAAAAAGGGCTGATGAGTCCCCCCAGACGAAAGTCCCCTGTGTTCCAGTAGGAGCAAGGGTCTCCTCTTTCTGCCTGCAATTTCAGCCCAGGACAATTACTGTATGTTGACAACCCACTCCCTTGCTGAAGGCAATGATACTTTCATCTGAAAAGCAAGGCAGTCAGTCTCCAAAATGTCTAACTCCACCAGTATGTTCGCGAACATTCAGGTGGAGTGGGAGCACTCTGGCTGGAGAACACAAATTATTATGATTATGTGACAATGTACAATGACCAAATTGTTATTTGTGTTTCAGAAATGTTAGACACATTTTTCTGAAGACAGGAAAAAGAAACGGAACATGGATGGGGCCCCAGAACATCATTTTTGGCCAAGTCCACGCATGCCACCTCTGTTTGAGACAAGGTCACCAGGTCGCTGGGGAGCAGCCTCACTTACACCCTTTTTGGCTGTTGCACGGGTACGTCTTGGTTCCTTGATTGGATCCTGGGGCTGTTGCTTCTTTGCAGCAGGCGTTACTGTGGATTCAATAGATGTCCGGGGGTGTTTTACGCCTTGCTCAGGCTCACCCCTATCACTAAGCTCCGATCCGGTTGGATCATCCTCTGGTGTGGGGTCTTCAACATCCCTTTGGCCAGGATCAGGCACAGCCTTCCCCTTACCTTTTTCCACCCTAGTGGGCTGTATTTGTCATATCCATACAATCCCGACCTCCGCTCCGGGCTCCTGGAACTCCGAACTCCGACTTCCGGAGCCCTACTTCCCTTCCGTCACCTTCTCCTTGCCGACTCCCAAGAGGTTATCCCACCTCCGGCTCGGACACCACCTTCGGTCCGACTCCGGAACATTCCGGGTCCGACCCCAACCTCGACACCTTCCAGATGAGTACGCAAAACCTATGCTCCCAACTCCGGACCTCTGCTCCGGTATCCCGTTCACATCTCGTCTCCGGAACCTCCGGTCTTAGCTCCGACCTCGGACTTTGACCCCACCTCCGCTTATACCCATTGTATTGGTTAGCCCATTCCATTTAATTACCTTTGCCAATATTCCGGAGTTTAACCTCCGAGTTCGGACTTTCCGGACTTACTCCGGACCTTGCAACTATTGCATTGTCCATTTCAATTCCGCTATTCTCCCTCATTCCTATTTGGGCTGCTGCTTCCTTTCTATTCAGTCAGCTAGCCATTCCCAACTCCCATCCTCCTTCCTTCCTTCTTGGGCCTTGGCCCTTCATTCCTCCTTTGGGAAACACCATTGAGTCAAACACTTGACCCTCGGTGTTGTTCCTCTTTCCATCTCCCTTTGTCTCCTTTTGTCCTACCCTTGTTCCTTTTGATTCCGGACCCCTCCTTATATACAATGTACCTAGTAACTTGTAACCTCAGTCCGAAATCGACATGAATTCCCCCAAGAGACTTTCCCTCTGCTAGATCCGAAATTAGGGACCCCTAGGACAACCAGCAATGGCACAGCGCTCCGCCTGAGTCGCTGAGGCCAAGGTCCTTCCATGCTAAGTCTCCGATTCCATTCCGGAGTCGTCCGAATCCCCACATTCTAACAGTATTGAAGTGTCTAAGTATCACATAAACTGTGGCATATTATTGACCTACTTTTTTGGATGGCATAGGCTCCTCGTTGTCAGTTGACTTGGCATCACTGCTTTCACTGCTGCAGTCTGAAGACTTGGATGGAGTGTCATCTCGGTCAGGGTCCCCTTGTTCAGGATCATAATCCTTCTCCTCCTGTTGATCCTCTAATTTATCCAGGGCCTTCTGATGTGTCTGTTTAGTGGTGAGTCTGATGGATATGTTGGCATGTTTGTAGTTATCACTTGCCTCAGAAATGGTGATATCCCGTGCATCTCGGAGCCATTTTGGCAGCACTGGGGATGTTGATTGGCGTTTCTAGGGTTTATGTTAGATCTCTGGAGAGTCATTACTAGTCTAGTGACAATAATTTTACCCCAGCCATAATCGAACTACTCTTGAATGTGAATTTTGAAGGTGGCATTCCTCCCAACAGGCAAATATCCTCCTCAAATAATTGGAGTTCTCCAGCAGAGCCTTCAGCATCTTGCACTGCTTTTGCCTTTGCCACAGAGGCTATGACTGAGAATCGGTGAAGGTGCTAAGTGAACAAATCAATTATCATTCAGAAAATTCAACATTCCTTACCTGCTCAAATGCATTCCATGCTGTTATGATACTGGAATCAATTGGGCCATCTACTTTCCCTCCCTTGTGAATAAATGTTACTCCTTCGAAGGCTTTCCTTAGCCCATCAAGTTGTTGGCAGTGTTGAACACATGTGGCATGATAAGCCTGTGCTGCAGATCCTCCCTCAGGATCCTCATCACTTGAATCCAATTTTCCCTCAAGGGCATGGACAAAGGCTTCAGGTTGATTGAAGTATGTCAATGACTTTCGAACACGGGTTGGGATGATGAGTTGGAAATCGGGTGGGCTTGGTGCATAAATTGACAATGCATCTCTGACCTTCAAGTGCAATGCAGAAGTGATGGTGTCGCTCTTCAAGAGGGGGCGACGGCAGAGTTCGTTATGTAGCCCATAGCTCACCCATGATAGGCGCCATTTTGCAGAGTCACGGTGCAGGTGATTTGGTCCTGCATCAACCTGGGTAGGAGAAATCCGTGGGTATAATGCCATCGCATGATCAACAGCATCCTTGCCCTTGCGGAATTTGACGAGATCGACATGAGTGAAGTTGTTGTCATACCAGCGCAGGAAAGTGGTGATGGATGTGCAGTATTCAAGGCACTCATCGGACCATGAGATATTGAATGGTGCATCACCCAAAAAGCCATTCTTATGATTCCCAGGCTCTGGAGGGTCCAGAGAGGGGTCATCATCAGGGACCTTTTCCTTGGCCTCCCTGATGCGTGCCTTGGTCTTGGCATGTACATCATATGTTGATCCACGCTCAAAGAACCCACCAGGTAGTGGCGAAGAAGAATTGGTGCGTGAGGGGATGGGCTTGAATCCACAATGATCCCATTCAATTTTCCAGTGTTTAAAGCATGGCAATAATTCACTAAACACCACATGTGTGAACTGTTCATCAGGTGAGCTTGGCATCCATCCAACAAGTATATCCTGGCTACATACCTCCACTTCAGTCCCTGGCTCCACAGCAAGCAAAGGATCTTGAAGAATCGCATCAAATAGTGCATAGGATGCATCAAAGTAGTTAAGTTGGGTGATGTCCATCATGTAGGCATTGACAGGGTCAATCCAAGCATGGATCTATGGCCAACAGATCAGTTGATAATTCTCATGTCATAATAATTTGTTGATAGTCCACCCAGATGTTCGCGAACATTTTGGTGGATGACAGACATATGGCCAGCTCCACCATAATGTTCACGAACATTTCGGTGGATGACAGACGTATGGCCAGCTCCACCAGGATGTTCGCAAACATTTTGGTGGATGACTGAAATATGCCCATACCTGCCATCATGTTTACACACATTATGGTGGATAGGGCTAGACAAACGAAATATGATTGTGACATACCTCCTTGAAAAACTGTTCATATTCTGTTGAAATGTCATCAAACTTCGATGGGAGACCATTTGTGATCAGAATCATATGCCACCTGTGAATGACGCCAGAGAAGAGGACGTTGAAGCGATAGCGACATTTTTGGACCACCGACTCAGGGAGAATATTTCGGTTTGGCTCAAGGACCTTTTCGACTGCACTCCATAGTGCTGTTCGGTAGTCGATATATCGTGATGAGTGATCCCGATGTGAGAACTGGAAAATGTCATCTCCATAAGTCCGCTGTGTCTTCTTCGACCCTTTCTTGACAATCGTCGCCACCCCAGCCACCACCTCGGCATCCTCCACACCTTTCCAGAACTCCACATTGAAGTATGCATCAAGTGGGGGCATCCTCTCAACTTTATCAATGAACGTCTTTGTCATATCCATTCCCGGCCATCGACTTCCGGTCCCTCCGATTCCTCCGTTCCAACTCCGCTCCTCCCTCACTAACCTCGGAGCCCCCGTTATTCCGCAATCCTCTCGGTAACCCTCGATGGTCACCACCCCCCCATTCCAATTTATTACCTACGCCTCCCTAAGTACGGAGCCCCGAAGACTTCCGGACAGCTCCGACGTCCGCTAGCGCACCCCTGCCTCCGCTGAGCAATACACTCGCCTGCCCTGCAGAGTCCACCTTCGGGCTTATCCCTCCTTTCCGTTTCTGGGTTATCGCCTGCCTTTCCGCTAACCCCGTGAACCGACTCGTCGGTAATATTCAGTCAGCTAATGGTTAAACCCCGTTAGCTCCGCTCCGTTCGGCTCCGCCAATTGCGGAACCGTCTCCGCTGTAACCATATATATATCCCACTTGTACATAGGTTACGCCCCAGTAGAAAAATCAACTAGAGTTCCCCCCTAGGTTCTAATTGCCAGTCAGTAAGTTAGGGCACGGACGTGTCACTAGGCACAGCGCTCCTGGCAGAAGTCGCTGAGGCCGAAGCCCTCCGTTACGGAGACATTCTTTCGTCTCAAGTCTGGTCTCTGACAGTCTTGACAAAATGCAGTGCCAGTTCATCAAGCTCTTCGGTTTTCGCCTTGCGTGATTTGTGCGTCAACTTCCCATCCAGTTCCTTCAGGAGTGCCTCGAATCGCTCATAATCGAAGTTATCATCCACGTCAGACTCCGTCATGAGAAGCCCCAGACGTTCATTTTGTGCTTGGACATATGTCCACAGATACTGTTGAAATGATGAAATCAATGATGTCATACATAGTTATTTCACATAGCAAGCAACATACCGCACATGTATGACCAAGAAGTTTTGTCGAGATGTGGTTTATTGTGAAGCCCTTCCAGTCACGGTAGTACTTGCCGACACAGACAAGTTCCATCAGTCCCCGATTGGACCTTTTGTCAGCTGCAATCCGCTGGAGCTTCCTGTGTGTGCCGAGCTTTGGCCACATCACCTTGCGGATATCAAGGTCAATCCCGTCAGGCCCCTCCTTGGCTGCAGCAGCTGACCGCCACAGAGTTGGCCTCCACCCTGTCCTCACCTGGACATTGAGAAGGTGCTGATAAATGGGCACCAACTTTTCTTCCTCTGATGCCATGACTTCGATGACATCCTTGTTTCGTGCGAGAAGCTCAATGACGAAGCTCCCCATACTTTCATCTTGTTCCAAAACATCTAAAAAGCTTGTGTCAGTTTGGATACGAATTTTGCGTTTTCCTCCACTTGCCCAAATCATACACCGCAGCAGGCCATGTCACAAGCTCTAGGAGCTTTAACTTCCATTCCTTCAACCTCTCCTCATCCTTCCGATATATTTCCCTCTCCTCCGACGTCGCCATATTATCAACCACCTTCCCTTCCACTGCTTCCCCATACTTCTTTACCTCACCGGCTACCGCTGCATAAGCAGCCTGTAATGCCCCAATTCTGATGAATAATGATTATTATCAAATTATTTATAGCGAAAGAAAGCCGATAAATAATGTATCATACCGATGTTGTCCATTCAGAACTTTCAATTGGCCAGCCCTTGCTGCTAGCCAACCCACCTCACTCAGTTCAAGAACTGCCAATGACTTATGGTTATCTGGCGTGATTATTTTTGGCCAGTCAGTACTGGTCACCCAGGGTTGCCGGATCAACAGCACAACTGGCATATCTGGTCGTAGTCTTGATGGACCACTGTCCTCAATGATGCTATCTTTGATGCCATCCAACCCGGCTTGGTCGATGGCCCGTGTATTCCTCACACCGTAGGTGAGAGGGAGAGAACTGTGGGTGTGAGCCTTCAGCTCACAAATGCCAATGAAGGCTTTCTCACGCAGCGCATGGGACACTGCTATTGCCTTGTCATATGTCAAACGTCTCAGGTCCTCTGAGATCACCATGTGGCGTGAAAGGCCTTGGATATTCACATTGGGGAGCACTGTGCTTCCAGCCATGGTGGATGGGTGATGATGGTGGTGGGTGGTGAGCTGTAGTGTCTGATCGATCAATCGATCAGATCAATCACCTCACTGTTACTCATCATTACTCAAGTCCTACCATTCTGACTCATTCACCTGGTTGGCATAATTATTTCCCCAAATGCTGATATCACAACACTTTATCCTTGGTCCACCAGAACGTTCGCGAACATTCTGGTGGCAACCATGACATTACATGGGTAGGTGACCTATGTCTCAATATTCCTTCAATCCACCAGAATGTTCGTGATCAATCTGGTGGACCAAGGGTTGTGATATTATCAGTCCTGTATAATTTATTGTGTCTAGGTTCTATAATTATTGTACTGACAACCCACTTCTCTGCCATACTGTTCGCGTAAATTCTGGTGATCCTGCCTAAATTGACATGGCGGAACCCTTGCAGTGACGGAACCCTGACACTGTTTTCCCATAATGTTTGTCACGGACACGACTGGGTGTATCCCCTTCTGTTGGGTGGTGAGCTGGAGCTTGACAGCAGCCGGGGAGACGACTTTGACAATCTTGAAGGGGCCTAGCCATTTATGGTCCAGCTTCTTGGTCAGGCGGTCTGTCATGTAGTTCTGGGTGCTGAGCCAGACCCGGTCACCCTCTTGGTACTTAGGGGCTGCCTCACAGCCCCAGTCGTAGTAGCGGGCCATTTCGTCCGCTGCATGTTCCAGTGCTGCTTTCGCCTCCTCTTGCATCTTCATCATCCTAGATGAGAAGGCATCAGTGGCTTCCACCTCGGTACGTGTGGGCTCTGTCCCCATCCTGGGGTGCTGTCCAGTGTCGAGTTCGAAGGGGGTCCGGCAGGTGGAGGAGTGGACTCGGTTGTTGTAAGCGAACTCTGCTAGTGGGAGCCAATCCACCCAGTCATCTTGGCAGTGGTTGAGGAATACCCGGAGATAGGCTTCGATCTCTTGGTTGACCCGCTCTGTTTGTCTGTCCGTCTGGGGGTGGTAGGGTGTGGAAGGGGTTAGCTTGACTCCCAGGAGATCTGCGAGTTCTTTCAAGAAGTGCGAGATGAAGGCGCTTCCCCTGTCACTGAGGATCTCCTCAGGGAGCCTGTGGTGTCTCCAGATGTGCTCCAGGAAGAGCTGGGCGATCCCAGCCGAGTCTATGGACGTCACAGTGGGGACCGTGTGGATACATTTTGACAGACGGTCCACTACGACCAGGATGGTGTTGTAGCCTTTCAAGTCTGGGAGCTCTCCCACCATGTCCACTGAGATCACCTGCCAGCGATGGGTGGGGACTTTGTTTGGTTCCAACTTTCCGTGTGGGGAAGGATTTGACACGGTTACAGGTGTCGCAGCCACGTACGTACCGCCCAACATACTCTGCCATCCAAGGCCACCAGTAGTTGCGGGAGACGAGTTCCATTGTCCTGGGTGCCCCATCACCTGCACATCGTGGTGGAGCCGTACCAGATCATGGCAGAGTTGCAGGTCTTTTGGAACTTACACCCTTCCCTGGTAGAGGACTAATTCTCCTCGTCTCTCCCACTCGTCCGGCCTCAGCGTCCCCTCCCCTAGTTCCCTCATGGCCTTCACCACCCGCTCATCATGATCCTTCGCTTCTCGTATCCTTTTCAGAATATCCGCCTCCTCGCCCTCTACTGAGACTGCCTCTGTTGCATGGGCCTTGAACCAGGCTGGTTGGAGGAGTGTCAGCCCCTCGTTGTCATCTCTTCCCTTTGGGTGGTCAGGATGGCGAGAGAGCATGTCCGGTTTCCCCATGAGCTTCCCTGGGTGATGGACGAGGGTGAAGTAGAAGCAGGAGAGGAAGAGGGACCAGCGTGCTTGACGTCGGTTAAGTCTCTGGGCCATGCGGAAGTACCCCAGGTTGCAGTGGTCAGTGTAGACTTCAACCTTCTCCTCAGCACCCTCTAGGAAGTGCTGCCATTCTTCGAGGGCCCGGACCATTGCAAGCATTTCCTTGTCGTACACCTCATAGTTCCGCTCTACGTCCATAAAGCTCTTGGACATAAAGGCTACCGGGTGGAACTCTCCATCTGACTGGAGCTGGGAGAGGACCACACCGGTCGCGAAGTTGGAGGCATCACATTTGAGCCTGAGATGGCCCAAATCTGTGGGGAAGGAGAGGACGGGGGCAGAGGTGATGGCTTCTTTGAGGGCATGGAAGGCACTGTCTTCGTCCAGCCCCCAACTCCAGGCCTTGGTCTTCCGGGTCAGCGCATGGAGGGGTCATGCTTTTTTGGAGAAATCTCTGATGAATCGATGGTAGAAGTTCATGAACCCTAGAAAGGATTGTACTTCCTTCACCTTGGTTGGGGTCGGCCAGTCAAGAACTCCGCAGACCTTCACCGGGTCCATTGCAATGCTGCCCTCAGAAATGACGAGACTGAGGTACTCGATCCAGGTCTGCTCGAACTTGCACTTCTCTGGCTTCAGGAAGAGCTTCCGCATCCACAACGTCTCCAGGACCTCTCGGATGACCTTCCGGTGTTCCTCTAGGGTGGAAGTGAAGATGAGTATGTCATCCATATAACAGATGACAACCTCCTGGCCAATGAAGTCCCGGAGGATGTCGTTCATCATCGTCTGGAAGGTTGCAGGGGAGTTGCACAGGCTGAAGAACATCACCATGGGCTCAAATAGCCCCCGGTTGGTCGTGAATGCTGCCTTCCACTCGTCACCATCCTTAATCCGGACGTTGTTGAACCCCCAGCGTAGGTCTAGGGCCGAGAAGTACTTGGCCTTGCGGAGGCAGGCAAGAACGTCCGAGATGAGTGGGAGGGGGTATGAGTTCTTTACCGTGATTTCGTTCAGTTTTCGGTAGTCTTGGACCAGCCGCAGCGACCCATCCTTCTTTTTGACAAAGAAGACCGGGGCTCCCATTGGAGACTTGGACAGCCATATGCGCCTGTTCTGTAGGTTTTCGCATAAGAACTCGTCTAGTTCTTTCTGCTCTGGGCATGAGAGGGGGAAAGTTTTTCCTCTGGGCAGTTTGGCGTCCGGCACCAGGTCTATGGCATGGTCCCAAGGCTTCCGGGGGGGTAGTCGGTCGAAAGCCTCTTTCAAAAACACATCCCAGAAGTCTTGGTAGTGACCCAGCACTAACTCTTCAAACGATGTGGGCTCTGCATCCGGCTCACGAGCCTCCTGGGCCATTCGCTGGGAGGGCATTGTAGTCGCCCTTAAGTCATGGCCACCCTGAGGGGATGATCGCAGCATAGATCCCATCCCCAGGTTCTATCAGAGGGTCCTGGTTGTCCGGCACCTGTGGTGATTGGCAGGACGATGGGCAGCGGGACATGACAACCCTCTGTCGCACCCAGTCTACTTCCGGGTTGTGGTGGAGTAGCCACGAGTGCCCTATGATGAGGGATTGTCATCCCAGGTTCGCAACAGTGAAATGGGCCCGCTCTGTGTGCCTCCCGAATGTTAGGAGGGCTTCTAGCTCCTCAGTTATGGCTCCATTCTCATTTGGGGTCCTGTCGACGTTATGGATGGGGATGGGCTGTGGGAGCGGGGTCATCTCGAGCTTGTGCTTCCGAATGAACTTGGGGCTCACAAAGTTCCCAGTGGCCCTGGAGTCTAGGAGGGCGGACATGGACACAGAGGCGAGGGAGGTCAGGGTGGTCAGCTTCACGGTAAGGTTGAGTGACCTGGGGGACACTGCTTTGAGAGGACATAGATGGCGGGTGGGGATACCGCTACTTCAGGTGCTACCCTTGAGTCTCTCTTGCTTTCACAGGCTGAGGATGTGTTTTTCCTCTTTTTCTTTGCGATAACTCAGTGGAACTTTTGCATTGGTGTTGGCTTACACATGCTGCGGTATTTACACGAGTTGTCCGCTACAGGTGGCCAGGACACATCCCTCACTGGTCGCCTTCCTGAAAATCCTCTTGGGGATCCTCTGCTGGCCCTCTCTGCTCCATCTCTGGCTCTCCAGTCAACTGGCTCCTCAGTCCTTCCATCAGTGCCCGGAGGTCTTCAGGGTGGAGGCATCGTACTCGACAGACCTTGGGGTGCTGGCACTCCCGGGCAATGTGCCCTGGGGCATCACAGTTGTAACACAGCCTGTTCCTCCTCTGGTCGATCCTTGAGCGATCAAGGTCCATTGGCTGTGGGCCTGCTCCACTCGCAGGGCGGACTGTAGGGGTTGGAGGTAAAGGTATGGGTGTGGGCCACGGGGGTGCAGGCATGGGGCGTGCATGAGAGGGGGCAGTAGTTGGTAGGGGTTGTCCCAGCGGGAATGGGGGTCTGGACAGGGGTGTGCAGGGCTGCATTGCCTGGAAACGTCGCCATTGGTTATCAAGGAGAGTGGCCTCACATTTCCATTCAGCCCAGGTGGTGGGCATGGGACGGAGGCAGTAAATGCTCTCGCAGAGCCGGGCGTTGATTGATTGCTCGAAGCGGTCGACTAGCCCAACGTCACCCAGCCACGAGGTGGGTCCCAGTATTTCAAACTCCTGGATGACCTTATCCACGGAGTCACTCCCTTGTCGGATGTTTGCCAGTTTCTGCCAGGCTGTGGCTTCCCGGTTTGGATCCTGGAACATGGCATTGAGTTCTGTGTTGAACTTGTCCATGATGAGTGCAGGCGAGCTGGCCGTCAGCAACATGATGGTGCATTGCATGGCCCATGCTCCTGCAGTCCCTCCCTTCATATAGGAGAGCACAAAGAGGATCTGCGAGAGGGCGCTGGGGAACTCGGCCGTGCGGACATGGAAGTAGATACCACATTCAGCTTTGAAGCGGTCAAGATCCTTGCTGGCTCCCGAGAAGGGGGTAGGGGGGGCAACCTTGGGGCCCTTGGGTCTGGGCACGGGTGTTGGCGCAGGCAGGGGGGCAGGAGCGGGTATGGGGGTGGGTGCGGGTGCGGCCCGGTTCAGGGCATGACTTTTGACAATGGCCTGTAGTTCTTCAAACCAGGCCAACAGGTCATCATATTGTTCTTCTGACACCATGGCAGGGGAGGAGGTAGAGGAAGTGTAGTTGAAACCTTCTTCTGCTGTCAGGGACACATCTGGGGTCAAGGCGGTCCGGGCGTAGCGTCCGGTGCTAAGGACCTCACAGGGGGTAGATCGGGCGTGCATACTGGCAGGCCTGATGCGGGACAGCAATCCCTGGCCACTTAGACTGAAGTGGGAATGTTGAGTTATTAAAAGGAAACTATGCTACTTACCTGAAGTGGGAATGTTGAGAAGAAGGTTATTCCCACCCCAGGTGTGTTTATATACATGTGGCTTGGGTCACATGAGGTCTGCCACGTCACCCTGCATACAGCTGCAGTCACCTGGGTGTCCCCATGGGGGATCCCGAGGGTGTATGCTGCACGTGCGCGCACTAGGTTGCACCCTGGAGCTGTCCAGGGCGTCCAGGGCTAGGCATGTCATGTGTGCATCGTGGGCGGGTCAATAATACATAGATATAAGGGAAAGGTCATCCGTGTGAAATAGAAATAGAAGTGGAAGAGGGATAGAGGGAGGAGAGAACATGAAGGAAGGGTGCAGGGTGAGAGAAGAGGTACTGGGTGAGGTGGGCCCAGGTGGAGGCAGGTCGGGCGGGTGTGCCCTGACAGTAGTCACTCCATCATGCTCTGCCTCCCTGAGTCCATGAGAGCCATTCACCCAGTCTTCCATGTGTCTCAAATTGAACCAGCCACTCCTAACGTCATCCTGAACTGCAACCAACCTCTGCCTCTGCCAATTGTGATTGATGGACAACCTGAGTTCGAGATTGGAGAAATTCTCGACTCTAAGATCAATCGCCATAGATGGGGTTGTAACCTTGTCTACACCATGCATTGGTTAGGTTATGAGGGGACTGATGAGGAATACTCTTCGCTCTTAGCTTCGGAACTTGATCATGCTCCTGATCTTGTTGTGGCTTTTCATGCCCACTATCCACACAAGCCTGGTGTCATATCCATACAATCCTGACCTCTGTTCCGGGCTCCCGGAACTCCGAACCTGACTTCCAGAGTCCTGCTTCCCTTCTGCCACCTCCTCCTTGCCGACTTCCAAGAGGTTATCCCACCTCCGGCTCCCACACCACCTTCGGTCCGACTCCGGAACATTCCGGGTCCGACCTCATCCTCGACACCTTCCAGATGAGCATGCAACACCTATGTTCCCGACTCCGGACCTCTGCTCCGGAATCCTGTTTGCGTCTCCGTCTCTGGAACCTCCAGTCTTAGCTCTGACCTCGGACTTTGACCCCACCTCCGCTTATACCCATTGTATTGGTTAGCTCATTCCATTTAATTACGTTTGCCAATATTCCGGAGTTTAACCTCCGAGTTCGGACTTTCCGGACTTACTCCGAACCTTGCAACTATTGCATTGTCCATTTCAATTCTGCTATTCTCCCTCATTCCTATTTGGGCTGCTGCTTCCTTCTATTCAGTCAGCTAGCCATTCCCGACTCCCATCCCCCTTCCTTCCTTCTTGGGCCTTGGCCCTTCATTCCTCCTTTGGGAAACACCATTGAGTCAAACACTTGACCCTCGGTGTTGTTCCTCTTTCCATCTCCCTTTGTCTCCTTTTGTCCTACCCTTGTTCCTTTTGATTCCGGACCCCTCCTTATATACAATGTACCTAGTAACTTGTAACCTCAGTCCGAAATCGACCTGAATTCCCCCCAAGAGACTTTCCCTCTGCTAGATCCGAAATTAGGGACCCCCAGGACAACCAGCAATGGCACAGCGCTCCACCTGAGTCGCTGAGGCCAAGGTCCTTCCATGCTAAGTCTCCGATTCCACTCCGGAGTCGTCCGAATCCGCAAGTTCTAACACCTGGGCCTGAGTACTAGGTTCGATAAAATCTTCTTCTTCTCCACCACCTCTGCCTCCTCCAGCATTAACATTCCTCCTGTCCACAGTACCTCCCTTAGCCTCTCTTGTGGGTCTTATGGCCTTCAGGGTTCAAGCCTAAGAAGGGGACACTGTCATATCCATACCAACTCTGCCCAACCACCAACCTACTCCGCCACCATTCTGGTTCACTTCCAGTTCATCCTCCCCCTCACCTCCGCCATTCCCTCTGGTATACCTCTGGTCCACCTCCACCTCCGATCTCTGGTACCTTCTCCAGTACCCCTTATCCTCATCATAGAAGACTATTAATATTTCTATCTACCCAACATTACTATGGACCTCCTAGGACCTCCACCAACCCTGCAAAGGTTTTCCCATTACCCAATAGCTGTCACTAATTCCACCCTTCACTTACCCACTCCACAATGCTCGATAAGGCGATTCTCTCACGAGCTTGCCAACCTGGCAAGTGGGTAAGTCCTCCTTGGGTTTTCCCTTTTGTCCTGTATTATGTATATAGGTCATGTACCATAGTTGATGGCACTTCAGTGCAAAATCAATGACTAGATCCCCCCAGAGTTCATGCCCTCCCATTCTGAAGTTAAGGACCAAACAGCAAGTGTAATTGAACGTTGGCACAGTGCTCCACTCCAAGTCACTGAGGTCACGGTCCCTCCACTTGTCCTACCTCTGGCCCCCCTTCCGGGGAAAGGTCCAGACATGCTTGTTCCCACTTGTCATGTTCTGACAAAGTCCATGGAAGCACTCGATCACAAATTGAAACTCAAACCCAGTGCTATATGCTCTCTACTGAGAAACCTTTCTGTGCTAAAAGGTTTGGTGAAAAACCATTGAGTATTAATTATAAACTGTTGTCCATGTTGGATTGAAGTTTGAATTCTCAATCAAAGCAACCATGCACACATCTCCTACCTAATTCCTCACATCAATTTCGATTTCCAACCTCCCTATATGCAATACACAATCCATTGCAAACAGTTTCCTCTATACTCCACCACATTTAAAGGACTCACTCTCGACCACATTGTGTTGGACTGCAGAGAAGATGTGGTTAACTATACATGGCCCTCATGCAAATCTGTCACAGGTCTCATGCTTTGCCATTCATCCCTCAGACTTTATGAAATCAATGATGATATATGTATGTCTCAGTGGCTAGAATTATTATTTGAAATTTAAGTTTCAAACTCAAATCCATATGTTGATCCTCTGAGTTCAAATTTCGGCTTTAACGGTACTCAGCACCGCAATCTCCCATCATGTGGATGAGCCTCCCACCATTGGACTGTGCTAAGATGTTCAAGATGATTTGATTGTCTTCAGCCGTCAGATGGAAACTAGTCGTGATGGTCTGGGCATTATCTTCACAGTGCTGGGCTACTCCGAGTCGGGCACCTACAGTGGATGTCCATGTGTGTCAGTTTGAGTCAATCATGACATTAGTGTATGGAAGACTCAAAGAGGGATCCATGCATGAATTAGCAGGCCAAAAGGGAGGGGCCAGCCAAAGAAGCCAGAACCACATGAAAGATTGAAGCGATTTTGGAGGACGGAACTTACCAACAATAACAGCCCCTACAAAAGGATGATCCAGCACCCAACGAGTAGCTACATTCGCGATACTCAAGCCCCCATGGCGATCTGCAATCGTTCGAAGGCTTGTGAGCAAAGTTTGAAAGAGATCCCATGTTCCCCATCCGTTGATGACGTCGAGATACTGAACGAACCATTATGCAATTAGTGAGACAAGGATGGCTCATATAAGGACAAAAAGGATGAGCTTCGAGCTTACCTTCCGCTGAGAAGGCGTTATTTTATCCTTATATGAGTCTGGTTGAGGCTTCCCTAACCAGAAATCAGAAAGGAATCCACCGCACTGGGACATGATTCGCCAATCATTAGATTAGATATGATCAACACGAAAAAAGCAGGTCGGGCATACCAATGTGCCATATGTCAGGAGCTTAACGCCATGTTTCTTACATACAATGGCCATGCGATAGAGCGGCCGGACATCGATTAAAGAGAACTAGTGGATGTAGTCTCAATCAGTTCCGGTGGTAATAAACTGGCCACCCACCTGCACTTGATTAGTAAGAAGTTCACCGGGACCGATAGTTTCGCAGATTTCGTTGACATGATGAGAGTCAAAGTTGACAAGGCCTAAAGCCCTGACTTTGAGCTTGCCATCACGTTTAATATCAACCAGGTATCGGAACACATTGAGATAGTCCAGGTTGTCATAATGTTGCCAGTGTACTTGAAGTATGTCAATCGTGTCCCCCATGGTTCTGCGCATACGCTCACGCACAGCATCCTCTACTCGGGAACGGCTGTATGGGATGTGAGATTCCGTGAATATGCACCATTTTGTAGCGCAGAGCGGTGGATGTAACGGCAATGAAGGGCGTCTGCTTGGCCGAAAGGTTATTTCATCCTCACCGAAGATATTGTTATCCGCTCACAACAAGGCTCGACGAAATTGGCCAAAGATTAACTCTGCAGAGCCATAGTGGTCGGCTGTGATCGCAGGAGACGGATAGGAGAATCAGGGGGAAAAAAAAACACGAGGTACAAGGTGAAACAAAGTGTTCGTACCCTAATTGACACCGACACGCAAAGTAAAGAATATTGTTGATGAACAAACGCTAAGATCGAAGAGATAGGAGTCAAAATATACTTGCCATATCTACAGAGCAGTGGATTCAGTGAGTGATCACGGATGGTGCAGGTGTTGTCGGCGCACCAAAAGTCGTGAATCCATGAAGATAGTGCTGGTTCATCTCCGACTTGACTTTGGACACAGGGGCAGTGCCCCATGCAGGAGATGACAATTGCCAGAGCCCGATCCAGATGCGAGGGACGGTGAGGGGCCCTGATTGTTAGACCAGGTGTGAGCATAAGTTTGGCATGCGTCGGCTGAGGCGTGTAAAGGAGTTGATGCATACCGAGGTTGATCTATGACAGAAGGTACATTAGCTGGGTGATAACATGTGGCAATGAAAAAGTGCGAACTGACGGTCTCGAGGGGGGGCTGGAGCATTGTTGAGGGAAGGGTGAAAGGGGATGGATGGATGATGGACGAGAGGCCAGACAAGGATGGATGGGCAGACGAGGGTAGACAAGGATAGACAAGGGTTGGCAAATTACTGCTGGGCGGAAGTCACGGGTCCCATGCCTGTCGGGTGGAGCCGTGTTTCCACCGTCTAGTACTTGGGTGCAGACGCAGGCGTATCGCGTTGGGAAACCTTTCCTAAGCGGACTTGAATGCGTGGTTGTATGATCATTTGGACTTGCCAATAATCCATGTCTGTCACGCTCCATCTCAACTGCTGGCTACTTGGCGATGATGCTAGCCAAGTGTTCCCGGTGGCAATTTCGAAGACAGCGACTGTCGGCATCCTCAGCCATCAAAGAGCAGAAGACGGTCGCTTTCCAACACCTCGCACTCTGGAAGGTTTCCATCCCAGTCGACGACGGTTTTGATGCGAATGTTGAACTTGAAAACAAACAAGTACTATCGCCAGTGAAGAGATTGTCCTACAAGACCTACACATCATTATTCGGTTCCCGCGTGTTGGTGAGTGATAGTCGCGAAGCTTCCCCCGCCCGCGACCTATTTTCTCATTCAAGCTTGTCTTTAGTGCCACAATTAGATCCTCCTATTCTCGAACTGTACTGTCTCATTCATGGCGATGGCGCCAACCATATCTTTCCGGTCCAAATTGCGAGTACAGAGTCTGTCGGTACCCTCAAGAAAGCCATCAAGGAGGAGAAGTTCGCTCTCCCACACATTGACGCAGACACCCTCAATTCTGGAAGGTTTCCATCCCAATCGACGGCAGTTTCGAGGAGAATGTGAAGGCTGAACTTAATGATGAGGAAACTCTATCGCCTGTGCAGAGATTATCTTCCATCCACCTCAGGATGGATATCTACACATCATTGTTCAGTCTCCCCCCGTATTAGTAAGTGCAAATGATTGATCGATTTTGGTGAACCTGACGATGGCCAAGGCAAGAGTGTTTCACCTTCATCGTATAAGGCAACCGTGTCCCCAAGGGCCGGGCGGAATGGGCTTCAAAGTTTGCGCAAAAGGCACCTTCGGAAAAAGGGAAGCCGAAAAATTTCGCTGCTGACCAGAGAAGAAACCCTCCTGCATTCTGTTTCAATCGCCCACCATCGACCGCCGCGACGATACCTATCACATTGCACAATCCCATATTTGGCCAGTTCCAAGATGACTGCAAAACTTACATACCGACGAAGGCAGACCATGACTTAAAGCTGTCAAGTTCTATGTCAGAGTTTTGCGATGCCGAGAAAGGGAGGGTGGAGAAGATTTTGGAGGTACGGGCTCCACTTTTTGGTGGCCCAAATCGACAGGTATATGACTGACGGAGATCTTCGGCGCAACAACTTTTGCTTCGGGCTCATGGAAGTCAAGTCAGAGATTATCCTAGGCAGTGCTGAGCCTATCTTTGAAGCGGCCTGGTACTACGCTGCTAATCTGGGCTCCAATCTCCCTTGTTTTATTCTCTACATTGCTGGTGAGGTTGCATGTGTGTTCTCGAGGTGCATCATGACCTAAAGTTCATGTTGCAGGTGCCCATATTGGTTTTGCAGGCGCCCTGCTGTGGACCATACGCCCTCATCTACAAGTTGTAGCACCTACTTTGCCGCTCTTCTATCACACATCCGATGTCGATATGTGGATGCAAACCGCATGTTTTTTGGGTGCAGTGAGCGTTGAATACTACGAATCCGAACTTCCATGTATTACTGCCCCGTCCCCGCCCAGCCACCCAACGTGGGATTCCCGCATCCTGCCCACTTCCTTTCTCTGGACGACAATTCATTCGAATACTTAAGGAAGAGAAACTCGTATTTATGGCACTGCCGGTGATGACAAAATATGCATCAAGTTCGTCCATCAATACTCGAAGGAACCATCGCAAATCCTCATCATTGGGATTCGCGCCTTCCTACGGCTTTCAGCCGTTCCCGGTGGATGGTATATGGTTGTCATTAATTTCATCGATAATACTTATCATGAATTGGAGGATTCATATGCAAAAGCCTCATTTGAAACCGGAAGGCGACCAGTCTCCACCAAGCAGGATATGTGCACGGTGACATTCGAACTACCAACATCATGGTGAAGACGGTACACCCGGAATCATGCTAGTTGACTTTGACTGGGCAGGTGTACCTGAGGAAGTACGATATCCAATGAACGTGAACAATGAAGAAATCAAGCGACCTTCCGGAGCGGATGATGGCGAGCTTATCCTGGCCCAGCATGATTTAGATATGATTGATTATATGTATCTGCCTGTGTAAACATTGTGGGGATCATTTGAATCACTATCAAGGGTGAGGTCCGTCGAACAAGACGGCAAAGAGAATCCTTAAGGGCCTCAATCTTGTGAGGAGCCTTGTGGTTCTGAGGGCGGTAAGTTATGTAATATTTGAGAACAATCAGGGCAAAATAGCAGGTCCGATTTGTTGATTTCCAATACCCTTCTCTTGGTTTCACCCCATGCAGTTACAACCTTCCACAACATGCACATGCTGTGCATGATCTCTTGCTGGTGGTTAACGCTGATAAACCCCAAACCACCATCAAACCACACCTTCCCCCAAGCTCATTACTGCTGCCCTGATCTATGAGTGCCGGGCGACTAAAGATAAGGATAAAAGGATAAATTGCAATCATGATCCTCAGCACGTATCACATACCTATCTTACAACCATGCACGTCAGAGCCCAGACCCTTACAATGCCCACACTTGCGAGCTGCAGGGCAGATCTATGGTGGATGGATGGCCTGCTGGTGAGTCCTCCCCCAGTTTAACACCATCCTGACAGACAATCGGGTCAAGTCGCACACCTGTCGTAGGCACATATGACTGTGTATGCATTAGCGGGAGTTAGTGATGGCGCACTTAACAACATGCTACTCACATATTTCTTGATCACTTTCTCTAGGGCGGTTGGAATGATCTTCCATGGAAAAACTTTCAAGTCCTTCTCAATATTCCGAGGTTTAGGTTCTCCGAATCCCATAATAAGAGCGAAGAAGGAGCCAATCCCTTTTCCTGGCTTGCTCTTCACTACTGTTTGAGGCTTGAATCCTTCTAGATTCCGTCAGATCCGATTCTTTTCCTCGATGCTGAAAGGAGAATCGATGATCATCTTGAGCAGGAAGATGAGATCGACTGAAGTAATAAAGCATTCGTCTGCATCGTCCCAATAATGCAGGACACCACGATCGACGTGGGTTGGTACTCCTCAGGTGGAATAGACTTGAAAGCGAGATGAACGTCGGCCCCATCCTGACGACGCCAAAATTGCACGAGTCTCCAGCAACTAACAAAATCTTTCTCCGACCTTACAGAGGAACTACTGAATACTTATTGACCAACATGTGGAGACAAGTACGCACCATCCAAGAGCCATGTTATTCAAATCCCCCTTCAGCAGAAGTCTAACTGGGTTTCTCATTGTTCTTCGAGATGATAGCTGGCTGGTTTGAATTAGTGTAGATGGGATCAACGGTTTCCCGCTAATTGAGGTCCTAGCCCCAAAACCTCGTGACCTGTGCATATTCGCTGTAGACAAGGAGGCTTCCTGTTCCCCTTCAATTCCAAGATCGGGTGTGGACTGCAGAAGCTCTTCTTGAACGTCTTTGGGTGAGTGGGGTAGGTTTCCGTGGTAACGAGGATCGTTCACAGTATGGTGCTTGGGTTGAGTGGGGTGCTTGTGTCCCAAGGGGGTAGTACTGGTTTCTTGATGAAGAGGAAGGTGCATGCACTCCTCAATTGGGCTGTTCTGCATCGCTGATGAGTCATGACCCAATACCTAGGATTCGCCCTCGAAGGGGCTTCGAGGGAAATTCCCACGAAAAATTGAATTGAATTTTCGTTCTCACGACCCCTTTGAGGGATTCAATTTTTGAATGACCCGGCAACTCCCTCTATCCTCATCTGTTATCAGCCAGCAGGTGTCTGAACGCGATATCAATCCGATAGTTAGATATCGTGTTCTGGCCAAGTTGCGGACATTAGGGACGTTCACGGCACTCACAACTCAGGCAAAACTGTGCCAAAACTCAAACTCACAAGTGACTCAAAACTCCGGTGTGTTTTGAAAAGTGTGCCACAAGAGGGTGTTTTCGTGTTGCGGCTCCGAGCCGCAAGACTGTGAAAACCACAACTATCTGTTTTCACAACTCGGTTTTAAACAGTCTTAATTCCGTCCTGCATTCATGTGTTTGTCTCCAATGTAACTATACAGTTTCCCAACGTCTCCTACTACCTGAACCACACTGTGCAATGTCATTGCCTACCACACTCGTTACTACAACTAATTACAGCAGGTAGGATGGTCCTCAATTAAGTGAAGCATTAAATTAAATGTGTGGGGTGAAATGCACAGGTTGTACCAAAATCTTCGTGGATCATCAGCTTTGTACATGTAGTGGCCAACATAAATAGAAAGCATGCATTGACTGCATGTTGTATTGTTGCCCAGACCTCAGCTTGATTGGACTTGGGAGTCAGCTAAGGAAGAGGTAGCTTGAGTGCCGGAAGCTTGACTTGAACTGGAAGTGCTGGGGGAACTGAACTGGAGTCAGACAACGACCTGCTGCTACCAGATGAGATGCCGGAGCTGTTGTCAGAGTTGCTAAGAGACAAGAGGTCAAGGTGGCTAGACGTCCCTGCCTATAACAAAAGACAGTGCTGCTAGTGGCAGTATCTGGTCTGGAGGTTGAGAAACATGGTTTAGTCCAACCTGGATTAAGCGCTCGCATTTACGGAACCGGTGGCATAGTCGTTACATAATACATCCACATGCTCTAAGGCCAACGGACTTATGGGTTGATATCAGAGGGTCTGTTATGACAGTGTTTTGAACCTGTCGCTGTGAACGCCCTTTTGCTGCACTCAAAACTTACTCAAAAGTCTCTGAAAACTGTCACACAAGAGTGGTGAGTTTTGGCATTCTTGTGACTTAGTTTTTCCCGAGTTGTGAGTGCCATGAACGTCCCTATTAGGGGCGTTCACAGTACCACAAGTCAGCCAAAAGTTAATCAAAAGACGAAGTCACAAGTCAGCCACAAGACTCACCAACTTGTGACAAGTCAGTCACAAGACTCACTTTTGTCTTGGGGCTCTGGGGCTGCAAGAGCGCCAAACTGGTTTAAAAACAGGTTCCAAAACTCGGCCTTAAGCTGATTAAACCCCGTGCTGAGTCACATGTACTACTATCCTATACTGTACAGTTTCTTCCTCACCCGATTGGGTAGCTGCAATGCAATGCAAGTGTGCAGCTCCTTCAACAGTGGTACCCACACCAAATAAGCGTGCTAACTGGTCTACTGGTCTAAAAACTGAGGAGATCAGTACCCCCACCACACACCGCATCCAGTGGCTTGCCAACCCCACATGGATGGATCGGCTGGTATCCTACTTGCTTGAAAACCCATCTGTGCATCTCAAACTATGTGGAGATTCTTCCCAGACAGCGAAGGCAGAGAGCCGGTCAAGGGTCTGACTGATTTATGTTCCAGTTTGGTGTCCATACTTTTACTTGATTCGTTTTTTTAGGTTTCTACTGGTGAGAAGAAGAAGGACTACTGGGCTATCATTGCCAAGTCTATTTGGGATCGGGATGACGAGCCTGAACATGCTTTTTACATCAAGGACTTAGCCCACTATACCACTGCAATTCAAGGGCGGATCAGTTGGTGCATTGTATTTTGAGCACGCAAATTCAATCATCAACCTTCATCCGACAGGCTTGAAACACAGTACAACAAGTACCTTAAGTTCCTGAAGGAAACAGGTCAGGGTGTTAAGACAGATGAGGAAATTGAAGAAATCCACACAAATAAAATGGGTATGTAGAAATTTCCTCATATGTTCATGCACTAATATTCCTAAATATTAGCAGAGATACACTCGAGGTTCCCTTGGTTTGATGATTTGGATGGAATTTGGTCCATGCTTCCAAAACATTCCATTGACTTGATCTCAAATTCAACTGTGGGACAAGCCCAAGGGTCCGAAAACCTTTCTTCAGCCTCGCCTACTATGGATACAAATGTACCGGAGTCTCAGGATGCAACTCTGGCTGAGGTGTTGGAAGATGGCATGGACTTGGTATGTAAAGGAAGGATGAAACCAGTTAGTAGTTACTGACTCCAAGATATTAGAATAGTGTGTTGCTACTCCTGATTTCATCTTCCCCTTCCCCACTTCCATCACCCCATACTACCTTACTCGATGAGCAGCTGCAGAGTGTTGACACCAAACCTAAGGTTGACCCAAGGTTTGCACCCCAGCACTTGCAGCTCCCCGCTCCTATTACACCAACCTCAAGATCTATGACACCAGGCACATCTTCAGCCCATACCATGGCACGGGGTATCAAGATAAAGCGAGACTCACTCGCTGATTTCCATGAAGCAAGCAAATTTGAGTCTGAACTCGCAGAGCGAGAGTCAAACCAGTGGCATGCAGAATACATAGCACGCATTGCTACACATAGACAGTGTGAGGCAAATAAGCATGAACGCAGAATGCTCAAGTTACAAATCCGCCAACTAGAGCTGCAGCAACAGCAGCAATTGGATGTGGCACAGCGGCAGTTGGAGTCGCAAGAGGCACAGCGGAACCTTTTCATGCCAACTGGATTTCCACTCACACCCTGTCAGGGACCGCGTGTCAGTTCACGACGATAAGGGTGTTCCTGAGAATCCTAGTTGTTGTTAACGCTGAAGTGCCACCTTCAGCAGAGATAGGGCTTATATACATGGATACGCTATCCACTAGAGTGCGGCTACAAGCGAGATAAGAAACAGCCAATAGAATGATGACATGAAAAGATAACTATTCATTCGGATAATCGTAAGCGAGATGTGGGAAAGGGGTGACATGTGGATGGAAGATAGAAGTGGGATGCTAAGCGAGAGCTAAGCAAGATTACCTGCGTTCTTCGGATCACTCCGGATCGTCTGATGGCAACTCCCTTCCAGCATAGGGAGTCAGGGTAGCCGGTTAGGCCGTGCCCTGACACACCCCCAACATTACTTGCCACACCACAAATAGACCTTGGCAAAAACCTCCTTGGACTTGACTCGGCACCTAATCAATTCTAGTTGCACACTCTTTTTTTTCTATTTAGTACTATGGCTTTCAGTGTTGTCCATACACCTGATAAAATAAAGCCTCTTGAACATGTCGGCGCTTCTGCTGACCTTCTGTTTCTCCTGCTATCTGCAGTTCTGTTGGCACCCAAATAAACCCTTCAACTTCTTCATCATCTTCCCTCTCATCACAACCATGCAACCCATCTTCAACTCACCACAAGAAATCCTCATCAGACTCAAAGTTCTCTTCATGTGCTACCAATGAGTGAATGATAAGGCAGGCACGGACCCATTCCAGAGCGAGTTTGTAGTCACGCACACTATTGATTTGTTGACAGAGCCCCCAAAGAGATTGGAATTGGCCTTTAAGGAAACCTACTGCATGCTCTGACCGGATATGGACCTGAATTGACAATTATCAGTCACTAGGGGTGTTAGAACGGGCAGATTCGGACGACTCTGGAGTGGAATCGGAGACTTAGCATGGAAGGACCTCAGCCTCAGTGACTCAGGCAGAGCGCTGTGCCATTGCTGGTTGTCCTGGGGGTCCCTAATTTCGGATCTAGCAGAGGGAAAGTCTCTTGGGGGCATTTCAGGTCGATTTCGGACTGAGGTTACAAGTTACTATGTACATTGTATATAAGGAGGGGTCTGGAATCAAAAGGAGCGAGGGTACTCCGAAAGGAGACAAAGGGAGCTGAAAGGAGGGACAACACCGAGGGTCAAGGGTTTGACTCAATGGTGTTTCTCAAAGGAGGAATGAAGGGCCAAGGCCCAAGGAGGAAGGAGGGAGGATGGGAGTGGGGAATGGCCAGCTGACTGAATAGAAAGGAAGCAGCAGCCCAAATAGGAATGAGGGAGTATAGCGGAATTGAATAGGACAATGCAATAGTTGCAAGGTCTGAGGTAAGTCCGGAAAGTCCGAACTCGGAAGTTAAACTCCGGAATATTGGCAAACATAATTAAATGGAATGAGCTAACCAATACAATGGGTATAAGCGGAGGTGGGGTCAAAGACTGAGGCCGGAGCTAAGACCAGAGGTTCCGGAGACGGAGATACAAATGGGATTCCAGAGCGGAGGTCCGGAGTCGGGAGCATAGGTGTTGCGTGCTTGTCTGGAAGGTGTCGAGGTTGAGGTTGGAACTAGGATGTCCCAGAGTTGGACCAAAGGTGGTGTCAAAGCTGGAGGTGGGATAACCTCTTGGGAGTCGGCAAGGAGAAGGTGACGGAAGGGAAGTAGGGCTCCGGAGTTCAGTTTCGGAGTTCCGGGAGCCCGGAGCGGAGGTCGGGATTGTATGGATATGACAAGGGGAGGATCAGTTGAATATTTAGACTTATGGCAGAAAGATGGTAGTTGAACTGTCAGTTAGCTGGTATAAGAGATTGTGGCTTCTTGTATGGTACCATGCACCATGGTGTCAAACCATAAGCAGAGTCCCCCCATAGCCACTCACCATCTCGGAACAATTGGTCAGATTCCTTATAAGCATGTGACTCTTTAAAGGCCGTGGAGTCATGGACACTCCCTGGTGGGCCAAGAACATAGTCAATTATGTGTAGATTTGGAAGTGTCACTAACTAAAAGCAGATGAGTCAAAGCTTCGTGAAAATGGAATGTGTCAGAGACCAGGTTGAGATGAGGGAAAGTCTCCGTGGCGGAGGGCTTCGGCCTCAGCAACTTATGCCAGGAGCGCTGTGCCAAGTAACACGTCCATGCCCTAACTTACTAACTGGCAACCAGAACTGAAAGGGGGTAAACTCTAGTCGATTTTATTACTGAAGTGTAACCTATGTACAAGTTGGATATATATATGGTTACAGCGAAGACGGGTCCGCAAATGGCGGAGCCGAACGGAGTGGAGCTAACAGGGTTAAACATTAGCCGACTGAATATTACCGGCGAGTCAGGTTGCGGGGTTAATGGGAAGGCAGGCGATAACCCAGAAACGGAAAGGAGGGATAGGCCCGAAGGTGGGCTCTGCAGGGCAGGCGAGTGTATTGCCCAACAGAGGCGGGAGTGCGCTAGTGGACGTCGGAGCTGTCCAGAAGTCTTTGGGGCTCCGTACTTAGGGAGGCGTAGGTAATAAATTGAAAGGAGGGGGTGGTGACCATCGAGGGGTACCGAGGGGATTGCGGAATATGGAAGCTCCGAGGTTAGTGGAGAAGGAGCGGAGGTAGACCGGAGGGATCGGAGGTACCGGAAGTCGTTGGCTGGGGATGGATATGACAGAATGGCTGTTACAGGAATGGGTTCCGGGGAACCCAACCTGAGCCGTTCGGCTCACTAATGGAGGTGGCTGCGTAGCCATCGGAGGGAGAGCGGAATGGGATGAGTGTCTGGAAGTACAACCTGTGGGTTGGCCAATGGTAACTTGGCGCTCCTGGGAGCGTACCGGTAGCGAGTATGATGTGGGCTCCTTGAGGGAGCCACCTGGCTGTCTGCTAACGGGGACTTGGCGCTCCTGGGAGCGTGCTGGTAGCAGGTGTGCTGGGAGTGGTTGGCTAGCGGTGACTTGGCGCTCAATGGAGCGTACTGGTAGCGTGGGATACTGGGACTCCCAAAGGGAGTCACCCAGTTGGTGGCTATCGGTGACTTGGCGCTCATGGGAGCGTACCGGTAGCAGGAGTTGTTGGGGAAAGCAGGCTGGTGGACCAGTGCACGGTACTTGGGTGACTGTGGGAAGTGGGACCTGCAGGTGCGTGGCCAGGCATCCTGGAGCTGCCTGGACCATATCCCTCTCCTAAGGAGGTGGGATAGGCTACAGTTCCTGATAGGGAACTTCTGGTTGGATGGGAGTGACTGCTCAACCACCCGGTGGACTGGTGGGAGCAGGCAGCAGGAGGTTGGGTGTGGGAATGCCCTCCTCGTTGCAGTTTTGTCATGGAGAGGATGAATAGGGAGGTGGACATGGTTCTGAGGTTACAGGTCGAGTTTACAGTGGTGGCACAATGGTGAGGATGTTACAATTGCGGTACAAGGTTTGTGGGTTATGTATTCGATAATGATCCACATCCTCGGCATTTGCCTTTACATGTCATATGACTGGTTTCTATCTAATATCAAAGTCTCAATGGTCAAGGGAAGTCCCTTGAAACTTAACAATTACCCCAGCCAGCACCAAAACCCAGTGGGAAAGCTTGGCATGGAGTTTGACAGAGAAATATAATGAAGGAGGGCAGAGACAACCTACCTACTTGCAGTCACGGACCATAAGTATCTAGTCCATCTCTATAACAATGGCATACCATTAGGCTAAGGGAGTAATTGGATTTGCGGTCAAAGAATTGTTCGCCATAATGTCCTGGCTTTGCATGGAGTGGTATTAGTGTGCCATCCACCATACAAAATCCTGGTCTCCAAGCGGGGCATGAGACTTGTTCCACCCAATCAGAAGCTTCCCACTTCTCCGATGCACTTGGCCAGTGGATTGCTTGGTCATGAAGAGGGAGGAATGCCACAATTATCTGTCTTGTAGAATTAATGACTGCTCCAGCACTGCAGCCTGCCCATTGCGCGACAGCTTCAACTGATACACCGTTCCCAAATTTACCAAAGCAGTAAAGAGTTATCGTGAGCTGGTGTGATATGGGGGCTTGTTCCACATTAGAGCTGTTGTAAAATATTGGATGTTCTCGGATAAGAGATAGAAGAACATCAAAGGAATGAGGTGAGACATGTAGGTTGTGGCGGAAGTGCCGTGCATTGTCCTCTTTGTAACACTGAAGTACAAAGGAAAGCTGGCTGCACTTGGGAACTGAATGCAGGAAGAGGACTCTAGTGGTAACAACATTGTAAAGAAACTGCCGGACATGTCGGATGGCTTGAACACGGGAGTGACAGAGCCTCATGTAGGTTTCAACAAGGTCTTCATAGGTTGAGTGGGATGAAAGGATAGATGAATGAGATAGCGATTCTATAGTGCTACCAGTGGACTCGGAGGATGAGGCGCTACTGCTGCTGCTGCTGCTGCTGGAACTTGTACTTGTGCTATCAGTGTCAGATGAGGTTTCGGACTCGGAGTTGTCATTAGTGTCAAAATCGGAAATGGATAGATCACTCAGCTCATCGATAGAGCGAAGGTTGCAGAGAAGACTGCATTGTTGATGTCGGTACTGGGCTTGGAGGCTGGATGCATG